CGGTTCCTACTCCACCGGCAAGTCGATTGGAATACATGAAAGACACACTCACGCTCTTCCCCTTTATGGTAGGAAAGTCCGAGGGCCGGCATTGACTACTTCTCGCCAGAAGGATGTACCAGCACCCACCCCTGCCTGAGTTAGCCTATTTACTTTATATGGGTGGCTAGTGCCTGGTTAACAAACTTGGACAGGAAACCCTTCTTCCCCTGTTCCTCTCAGTCCTTTGACTGTCAGATTCACGTTAGGTACTGGAACTGTCGACCTGACCTTCCCTTTTAGGGCTACCTGTTCCTATATCTTCCCTCTTCTAGTTTCTGTCGTCTATAAGTGTTTCTGGTACTTAACATGTCTAATTTGTAAATGTCTTTAACCGGTTCTAACGGGTGCTAAAACCCTAAATCCTATCCTATTTGGCTAGTTAGTCTACTACGATGTACTTTCCCTCCTTGTGGCTTGAAACTCTTACCCTGCATTTTCTCTCTTTGCTGGCTGTTGCTGTCCTTCTGGTGACTGTGTGTAGTGTGTAAGTAGTAATAGAATGCTGGGTTGGATAGGGCGTATGTCTGTGGGTTTAAGTTTGGGGAGTTGGGTTTCCATAGTGCTTAGGAGGGGGATGCCATGTTTGGGGGGGGCGGATCGTGAGCAGTGTGGTGAAATGTAGAGTGAGGGGGTAGAGGTGAGAGAGTTGCGAGGGGGGTGAAAGGATTGTGAGGGGTGTTGCAGTGGTGTGTTTATTTTAAACGGGGGTGCAGTTTGTGGGGTTTGGACCTCTGTCGTAAGTCCTGGTAGCCGGGTCGGTCTTTGATTGTTGTTGATGTTGGTGATGTTGTAGTATTTACATAAGCCTTAGTTATGATAAGTTGAGGTAGGTTAGTAGGAACTAGTTTGAATGGTGTTTGAGTCTGGTGTGCTGATTGTTGGATCTGGCTCTGGGTTGTTGATCTGTGCTAGTTCATTCCACATTTTAAAGATTAGACTTTGTCCTTTGATGATTGCTATCTTACCTTTGTCCAGATAGTTCTCCTCGAATTTGGTTTGAATTTCCTTGCCTTTAGGCTCGTTGGCTTTCATCTTTCTTTTGGCTTTGCACCAGAGCACCCAGTATTCCGTTTCCACTTGCTGCTTGAGGATACCCCATGCGTCTTGCACATGCATTGGTTGTTTGTCTATCGTTTCTTGGCAACGTTTCCTCCAGATCGACCATATTGTTGCCTTGCGTAGGATTTGGAATAGGTTGTTTTGAAAGGGGGTCCAGTCTTTGGGGGTTGTAAATCCTAATAGAAGGAGGGTAGGGTTTGATGTGAAAAAGGAAGTAGTCCTCTTTTATTTTTTATTTTATTTTATCTGTTGATTAGGGCCGGAGGAAAGTATTGTTGGGTTGGTTTCCTACCTGCGTTTTCCCTCCCACCCACCCGTTGCATGCATTTCCGGGTTGGTACAGTGACACGTCAGCAGTGCCACGTCAGACACAGTGCCATGTAAGCAGTGCAACGTCAGACACAGTGCCACGTAAGCAGTGCCACGTCAGCAGTGCCACATCAGACACAGTGCCACGTCAGACACAGTGCCACGTCAGCAGTGCCACATCAGCAACATGACGGGCCTGCCAGGCCAACTGGCCAATGAGCCCATTGCAGACTACAAAAAGCGCTTCCAGGCTCAGCTCGCTGCAATCGAGGCTGAGGAACAACGCCAGCTGGCAGCCAAGGCTGCCCAGCTACAGGCTGAAGAAGCGGCAACAGCAGAGAAGCTGCGGCTACAGGCCGAAGCAGATGCAGATGCCCAGGCTCGCCGCAAGGAAGCCCAGGATCTGTTGTTGCGGCATGAAGCCAACAGCATCGAGAGACTCAAGTACTGGCATTTTGAACCGAACGGCGACGAGGCAACACCAGAAGAGCAGCATAAGGAGCTCATGGCCAAGCTCGTGACCAGGCTGGTTTACACTTGTAACCACCTACAGTCCGAGCTGGCAAACCTCCAGCGGGCTGTGCGGAACCATAAGACTCAGCACGAGGATGCCACACGGGCACTGGACGCCCATGTACACGACTTGGAACAAGTTCCACCAAAACCAGACGTTGGGGCTTCCAGCACTGCATCCTCTAGCCGCCAACTTGAGGAACGCGTTGACCACGTAGTGGCAATGCTCGGCAACATCAGCACCTTCGTTGCGCCAACCACCATCAGCAGTCAGTTGCATACCTTGAAAACCGAGTTCCAGCAGCTAAAGTCGACGAACGCGGATGGCAATCCGAAGTTGTAGAAGATGCCAACTTTCCAACTGGACAGGTTCGACGACTACACGCAGTAGGATTCGGTCCTCTGGTGGGAAGCATTCACAACGCAACTCAGGATTCTGCCCATCGCCAAGCACGCGTACATCGGCGCCCTGTTCATGAACTCAAAGGGCGGATGCCAGACCTGGTTGACCCACCTGGCAACCTCCCATGGCGTCGACGTACCGGACTTGAAGGACAACATCACATGGGAGCAACTGACACGGCTGTGGAAGAAGCGGCTCATCGTCGACGACGCGCCAGCACTCGCCATCAACCGTCTGTTCACCATGTCACAGGGCAACACCGCAACACGGGATTGGCTCACGGAGTGGCAGAAGATTGCGGCAGTGCCCAACCTGGACTTGATATTCATGCATTTACGTCGTGAGTTCTACAACAGGTCCTGTGCTGATCGCGAGCAGTACTCAACCTTCGCTGAGATCATTGACAAGGCGAGGGAAATCATCAAGACCAACAGGTCAGCTGCACACGAGAAGTCAACATGGCAGCCGACCTATGTGGAGAAGGTACGAACTGGTCCGCGATAGCAGCACTTCGMTGCAGTCCAATCGGACAGTGGAGATAACCCAGCAGCCACTCCAGCATCAAGTGACGGAGATCAGGTGACTGCTGTCCAGCCGCGAAGCAACAACAAGTCCCGCAACAATGGGAAGGCGAAATCCGCATCGCAGGCCGGAAATGGACAGCCAGTACAAGTTCCATGGGTCAAGTTCGGCTTGACCGAGGCGGAGTACAAGATCCGCGGCCGCTACGGCAGCTGCTATTGGTGCAACAGCACCAAGCACAAGACCTCCCTGTGCCAGGATCAGGGCAAGGAGGATGTGCG